TGGGGGTTTATGCAGCAGCACCCTGTGTGTTAAGGGTCACACAGGTGTGGGTTGCAGGGGGGTCACACAGTGTCGGGTAGTTTTCGTTCCTCTGGCGTCTCACAGCCTTCGCTCCTCTGGAGTTCCGCGGTAGGTGGCTGGCTGTTGTTCTTCCCGGGTCTCTTCCAGGCCCCTCTCGCGGTGGAACCCCGTGTGGCAGCGGCGTTCTCCTGTCTGGCCAGCAATTTCTTTTCTTACAGTTAAGGAGACTGGAAGTCTGAATTCAGGATGTTGGCTCTAGTGGAAGGCTGTCTGCCTTGGAGGGAGGTCCTTGTCTCTTTAGCTTCTATTCTTCAATTCCTTGGCCATCCCTGTGATCTGTTTCTTCCCTGTTAATACTTGCTTGTTTAGTTTGTTTATATCTCAGAAAAGGCTGATTTAAAACACATGCAAAGACTGCATCATTCACATAACAAAATTCATTCCCATAGGAAATGATAGCCACAGGTATATAAAATCTAAATTAAACACACTGCTATAGCTAAATCCACTGTGTTTACTCCTAGTCACACCACAGGACAGAGTAGACCTGCCTCATATGATTTCCAAGGCTATGTAAGTCTTTAAGGAAGCTGACGGATGCAGTTTTCCCAACAGAGCAGCTGTTGGGCTGAGACCATCAACCTAATGGTTAGCAGCTGAACACTTTGCTCCTGTACCACCAGAGCTCCTCCACCACAGGAATAGGTTAGAATTTACAACACTTATTTTTGGGACACAGGATCCAACCCATAACAGGTAATTAGGCTTTGCAAAAGTAACTATCAGAATAGTCTTGTTCTTCTTGTTGTTAAGTACCGATGGGTCATGGGCGACTCATAGCAACCCTATGAACAAAAGTCCTCAACACTTGCGTGCGTGACTTTTCATCCTTCCTCCAGGTTTATAGGGTTTCCAGAAGCAAGCTATTTACGGAAATGGATGCCACTCCTGCTTCCAAGCGTATTTCAACCCAGGAGCGCCACCAAACGCTGTCTACTGTCTAACGGTAACCGTTACCGCATTTGACACAGTGTCACAGTGTTCAGCTTCACAGCTACCACAAGTTGCCACTGTATGACAAATGGACACCTGGGCTATACGACCTAGAAGACTGTTTGAACAAAAGCAATGAAAAACAGGCCTTGGGCCGCAGATTAGGGTCACCCACCTTATATAGACTATATAGAGTCATCTTAGTTTATTTTCTTTGTACACCACCTGCCAAAAAAGTTGAGTATTCTGACAGCACAGGTTTGTGGGGAGAAAAAAAATCCAAGTGGAGGAAACAAACAAAAACCCAAAATCCTAGTGGAGGAAATTCTGAAGTGGTAATACTTCAGTGCACTCAAGGAACAGAAAGGAGGCCAAAATGGTAGTGGAAGAAGATGCAGAGAACTGGCCAGATACCTGTGATGGATCTAGTGGGTTCAAATCCACCAACCACTCTGTAGGCAATCTCAACTCTGCTGTTTTGTTGTTAAGGTCTAGTTATAGATGACTCATAGCAACCCTAGGAACGAAAGTCCTGAACTTCAACCATGAGTTGGTGCCAATTCCATGGCACATGACAACAAACATGACAAGTTGGTTGTGTTGGGAGAAGCTACAGAAATTATTAGTTCAGGCAGGCCCCTGAGCCTCAGAAAATAATGGTTTTCAAAAAAATACCCTCTCTCCTTCCCAATTCTGCCAATTATTTTCTGAGGTAAGTCAGGTTTAAAGCAGAAATGCTATTCCTTTGGCGCCTTAGGACACTAAATGGGTCTTCAGAGTCTTTAAGAGATTAGGAGACTTTGGCCTAATGCTCAGTGAAAGTCTTCAATGTTTTTTGTTGTGTTTTTTTTTTAAAAAAGAGGTCTTACATGGTAGACGTGGGAAGATTTAGGAATGTGGGGGTGAGGTGGGAAGATGGAGTTAGGGCAAAAGAAGCAGTACCGGCCTTGCTCGGTGAAATTATCTTTTAAAAAGTCTCCCAAATGATCAATGCCTTTAATTACCAGCCAGCGTGGGCACACCAGATCGCCACAGCAGCGCCCCAGGTTTGCAATTCCTAATCCTCGCTCTATCCCCTCCCTCGCTCTCCCGCACTCCTTGCTCTCCCCCACCAGCTGCGGTCTCGGCCCGCGACCGCTGATTGCTCCCAACTAGCATCACTCTCAGTTGGCCCCGCCCCCCAAGCGCTGCCATTGGCGGTCTGGGGCGGGCACGCAGCGGCCTGGGGTGGGGGGAGGGGGAGGAATGGGGAGGGGGCGGGAATTCCCGATTCCAGGCCGGAACCGAGCGGATGCCATGTAGAAAGACCCTCTCGAGGTGAGTGCGAGCTCCTAGGGAGAAGTTTCGGGATCTGCTGCCCAGGCCCTCCGAGGCCTAGGAGCTGGAGTTCTAGTTCTTGTATTCTTCATCTGTTTCTCGGGACCCTGACGCCCTCAGACCCCGCCTTCAGGAGTCCACACTTCCAGACGCCACCCTGGACTCCTCCAGGTCCTGGACCCCAGACTCCTACCTAGTACGCCTCTTCGGCATTTGGCGGATATCTCACCCTGTGGGATAAACCTATCGTTCTCTGCCTTCGGAGAGATGGAAGAAGCGAAAGGGGAGTCAGAGGGTGATACATCACCCAAACTCGTTCTTCCTAAGTGGTGCACAAAGTCTACTGGGACATCCTCCAATGTCCCTTCGCTTCAGCCAGTCCTTCCTAGGGTGGGGGACTGGGCTCTGCTTTCCTTGAGAGATCACAGTTGTGGATTATATTTGGAGGCAGCAGCCTATAGTTCTCTGGAAGCGCTAATTGAAAGGGTAATAAGATAGTCATAAAATTCTTATGTCTTTAGTTTCCCCCTTGCTGGGGCACTGAATCACTTGAGTGGAATAAAATCTGAGGAGGGGGAAGAGGAATGTCCCCTGTACATACAGGGGTGGATGAGTCACCCTGGGTTGGGGAAGGTCAGAAAGGGGCCGGGGTGAGGAGGGAGCAACAACCTTCCCCTTTTTTTGGCTTCTTTCCTTGCATGACCATTCCCCACCCACTTTAGGCTTTTTTTCCTAGGTCTTGAGTCTTTGGAACTACCACAGCTACCATGGGGCCCTGGGGAGAGCCAGAGTTCCTGGTGTGGCGCCCAGAGGCAGTGGCCTCACAGCCTCCAGTACCTGTCGGGCTGGAGGTGAAGTTGGGAGCTCTGGTGCTGCTGCTAGTGCTCACCCTCATCTGCAGTCTAGTGCCCATCTGTGTGTTGCGCCGTTCAGGGGCTAACCATGAAGCCTCAGGTAAGTCTCTACCTTTCGTTGCTGCCGTGGAGGTTCTCTTAAAAGCTCACTGGCTGGGGAGAGGCAATCCTAAGACCAAAGGAAGGCCAGAGTAGCCATGTTCGGTCGATTAGGGGACTGGAGGGAGTTCACTTGTTTATTCCTCTCTGTGCTCCACTCCTGCCCAGCCTCCCGACAGAAAGCCTTGAGCCTTGTAAGCTGCTTCGCAGGAGGTGTCTTTCTTGCTACCTGTCTCTTGGACCTGCTGCCTGATTACCTGGCTGCCATAGATGAGGCCCTTGGGGCCCTGCATGTGACGGTGAGCACTGGCCAGCTGCTTGTGAGCTTGTATGCTGGGAGTGTCCAGTGTGTCTAGAAAAGGGGTTTTGTATGGGTCTGTTTGATGACTTTATGGCAGGCTATTGCTGTGTGACCATATGAATTGTAATTTTGCATCTGGAGACCCATAGATTTCTGTGAGCTCCCTTCCCTATTCCCGACTTCTGAATCTATTTGAGAGCTAGAGGAACCTTATGACCAGATTTATGACACATTTTGTGAGTTTCTCAGTTCTAGCCTCCAAGAAGCTGACAGTGCTCTAAGAATTTTCTTCACCACTTTTGTGAAAGTCTGGGAATATGGGTCTCTACAGTCCTAGGATGAGTGGGAACCAATTCCCAGAGTTCTCATGTTGCTGACCAAAAAAAGTATGGCTCAGACAAGCAGCATGTGGTGAAAAACCAAATCCAAGGTATAAAAAAGGCTCATTATAGGGAAAAAATGAGATAACTGTTTGGTGGTACAGGAAAACATCCTGATTTTTCCTCTCTCTTTCTTGAATACTGAGGAAGTAACTTTGCAGCAGTCTATGTGTTGTCACTGAGTGACTCTATGTCTCCATGTGACTGTGTATAATATAAGCTGCATGGTTTTTTGTATGTTTGAAGAACTTAGCCTGTGACTGTACATCTAGATCAGTGATACTCAACTAGGGGTGAGTTTTGACCGCTAGTGAAATTTGATATCTGGAGATATATTTGATTGTCAGAACTGGGAAAGGAGGGCTTCTAGTAGGTCAAGCTCAGGTGGACTGCTGACACCCTATTGTACACAGGATAGCCCCCCCACAGTAATAATCTGATAAAAAATGGCCACAAGTTGAAAAACTTTTGTCTCTATAACCTGTTACCATCAAGTTGAATCTGACCTATAACAAACACAAAATGATAAACAATCACAAATATTATTGTTATAGGTAAGGAACCATAGTGATACAGTGGTTAAGCACTCAAACTCTTGGTTGCTGATTAAAAGGTTGGGGTTTTGAGCCCTCCAGTGACCTGTTGAAGGAGGGTAGGTAGTCTGTGTATGTAAAAATTACAGCCATGATAAATTTATGTGGCACTTCTGCTCTCTGCTGTGTGGTCACTATGAGATGGAATTGATTTAATAGCAAGGGATCATGGGTAATTTGTAAGATGGCCTGGTAGTGCAGTGGTTAACTTTTCTGCAGCTAATCAAAGGTTAGTGGCTCAAACTCACTACATGGGAGAAAGAACTGCCTCACAGGATTCTGTGCTACAAATAAAACTGTCCTATAGAATTTCCAAGACTGTAATCTTTACAGAGGCAGACTACCACATCTTTCTGTCTGGTTCCACTAGTGAATTTGAACTTTACACCTTTTGATTAGCATGAGAGAGTTTAATAGCCACTGCACCACCAGTACTCCTTACAGATAACATAATGACACAGTTATTTGTGTAATTGTGCATTATTTTGTGTCATCAACTGACTCTGTATATTTGTGTGATTGAAGGTGACCTTGTGTCTGTGTGGTACCAAAGTCTTGTATAACTGGGCCTCTACTATGGTGCAATCCACACATTCTTGGCCTATCTTCTGAACTCTTTGTTGCCTGCTCTGCCCACAGCTCCAGTTTCCACTTCAAGAGTTCATCTTGGCCATGGGCTTCTTTCTGGTCCTGGTGATGGAACAGATCACACTGGCTTACAAGGAGCAGTCAGGGCCCCCACCTCGAGAGGAAACCAGAGCTCTGCTGGGAACAGTGAATGGTGGGCCACAACACTGGCATGATGGGTCAGGGGTCCCACAGGCCAGTGGAGTCTCAGCAGCTCCCTCAGCCCTTCGTGCCTGTGTCCTGGTCTTCTCCTTGGCTCTACACTCAGTATTTGAAGGGCTGGCTGTGGGGCTACAGCGTGACCGGGCTCGAGCCATGGAGCTTTGCTTTGCTCTGCTGCTCCACAAAGGTATCCTGGCAGTTAGCCTGTCTCTCCGGCTGCTCCAGAGCCACCTGCGAGCACAGGTGGTGGCTGGCTGTGGGGTTCTCTTCTCATGTATGACACCTCTGGGCATTGGGCTGGGTGCAGCCCTGGCAGAGTCTGCTGGGCCACTGCACCAGCTAGCCCAGTCTGTGCTGGAGGGCATGGCAGCTGGAACCTTCCTCTATATCACCTTTCTGGAGATCCTGCCCCAGGAGTTGGCCACTTCTGAACAAAGGATCCTCAAGGTCATTCTGCTGCTAGCAGGCTTTGCCCTGCTCACAGGGTTGCTCTTCATCCAAATCTAGGGGACTCCAGAAGAGGGCAGGGGAGGTTAGGTAGCAGGTACCCCTGTCCTTCCTCTCAAGTGTGTATGGAACGAGGAATCTAAGCACTGAGAACCAGAGAGTTCTCTAGATGCTAGGGATAGAGCCTTTGTGGCTGACCAATGAGAGAGACGTGGGCAGAAAGTAGCCCAGTTCCGGGCCCATGGGACAAGAGATGACCATAATCAAGAGACATTAGGATTAGGGAAGACACTGATTTCTAGGATCAGATGTCAGACACTATACAAAGACAAACTGACATTGAGGAGCCTGGGAGTGGTTACTCAACTGCTGTGGGCTAGAGGTATAGAGAAGGCATGGCCCAGAGTCAGCAGTCCATTTATTCTAGACCATTTTAGCACTCTGTCTTGGGGTGGACCCCTCCCACTTTTTTTAGCTTCAGCACTCATACTTTCTTTTTCCCAGGGGCCTAGTGCCAAATGGCCTTTCCCCTCCTCCCAGTTATAGTACTGGCCCCTCTGGATCTTTCTGCCCACTTTTCTATTTTCAAAGTGCCAAATAAATCTCCTCACCCCTTTCTCAAAGCACAGTGATGCACTGAACCTTGCCTAGCATCTCAGTGAAGGGAACTGTTTATTTTTTATTTTAGTCTCAGATCCTGGATAGGGCAGAAGTGCTTGTTGGGCTGAGTTGTGGGAAAGGTTGGCAGAGCTTCCTACTGCTGCTGTACCCTAGGGTTACAGGACATGATCCCCAGGCCCAGATGATAAACACTGAGCTGCCAAATTTTTTTATATCAGAGCAAAGGGCAGGGGGAGGCTCACCCCTGGGCTTATTTTTGGGGACGGAAAGCTGTGCATAAAGGCCATATTCTCTAGAATCTATTTTACTAACTGACCTGTTTTGGGACGTGTTACCCAAATAAAAGATGTTTCTATAAACCTGTATAGTATCTGATGCATTTTTTTAGGAAGTGGGTGGGCATGCCTCACAAGGCTTGAATTCCAGATGTTAAGCTAAGAATCACTGGTCTGTTTTTATTCATCACCTCTGGTTTCCTTTCCTAAGATGACCAAAATGTTACACCCTAGTTACTTCTTCCCTCTCTATCTCCACCTCTTCTCTCAAATTCCTTAATTCCTCAATCCTCTGGGTTCAGGTGGGAGCCCCCCTAAAGACTACCCTTCCCAGCTTGCTCCACGCAGGGAGGAGCAAAGAGCCCAGTTCCTGGAGTCAATGGGGCTGCTGGGAAATGGAGTCCATTTCCTCTCTGTGGTGCGTGACCAGTGAGGCTAAAGCGTCACGTAAACAAACTACAGTTCCCGGCGGCCTCGGGACACAACAGGTCAGGGCTAGGCTGGGGCCGGGTTCGCGGTGCTTGCCGAGGCGGCGGTGGCGGTGGCTACGGCTGGAGGAACCGGGCCGAGGCCGGCAGCAGAGGCCGTGGCTGCTGCTGGGAGGGCGGCAGGGAGGCGCAGGGGAGGAAGATGGCGACGTCGGGAGCGAATGGGCCCGGCTCTGCCACAGCCTCGGCTTCCAATCCGCGTAAGTTTAGTGAGAAGATCGCGCTGCAGAAGCAGCGTCAGGCGGAGGAGACGGCGGCCTTCGAGGAGGTGATGATGGATATCGGCTCCACCCGGGTGAGGGGCCGCCCCGGGGCGCCGGAGTGGGGAGGACAGGCGAGGTGGGGCGGGAGCTGCGGCGGCGGCCGTGAAGGCGGAGCGGGACTGGGACTGTGGGAGCCGCCGTCTGGGAGGTGCGAGTTGAGGGCCGAGGGGCAGGAAAACGGATTTTGCGGGGGCGGGGTGTGGGGTGCCCGAGACATTGGGGAGAATGAGATGTGAAAGCAACTAGGTGCGGAGTACGTGGGGCGGACCTCTAGGGGTTGATGGTCCCTCGAGGCTGGGGAGGCAGAAGGTAGTGGCCCCTCTGCATCCCTGACTGAGCTCGCGCGGGCATTCCACTTCAGCAGTCCAATGTTGGGTTATAAGTTGGGGAGATGATCTTCTTGTCACTAGCCTGTCTCTCCTGAGTTGGTGGTCTCCAGATTGTTTCCTCTGTCCTCTGCAAGATGGAGGTACAAGCGCCCACCTCACAGGGCAAAGACTCCTGGAGTGGTTTGAAGAGCAGCTCTGGGTATGGTGGGGCAGGAAGTCCCCTCCTGTGTCCCGTCCTTTTGCTTCCTTTTTTAAATACTTCTTGTGGTTTCCTGACATGAATGAAGGTGAGGTCCATTGCTCGCAGAATGGTGCTTGGTGTTTTGCCTTGGCAACCTTGGAGAGGTAGAGCATTGGTTCCTGAAATGCCTCAGCCAGTTGACTATAGATTATGTGGAACCCAACGGTTCTTGCGGTTTCTAAGGAGTTAGCTGCTTTGTGAGTTAGTTTATTTGGTATTTTGAAGGGTTCTCTTCTGTAGGAAATATTCGTTCCTGGGAAGTTCCCAAAAGAAAGCAGCCGTTTCTGGTTTTTTTTTTCAGATCTAGAGCGAGCTGTCAATCAGAGAGGATAGAGGGTGGGAGTATCATTCTTCTCCAGACAGCACGTGAGATTACTGTAGTGCTATCTTTTAGTAGAGTGCTAGAGCGAATTTAAGGGAAAATGGAACAGACATACTTTTCAGGGCTCACTCTTCTGGTTTGAGACTGCATCTATGACTATAACTGATTATATTTTTGTGTGTACCTTCCTTGACTCTGTTAATCTTGTGTGTGTGTGTGTGTGTGTGTG